ATGGAAAATGGTTTGGAGGTTCCTCAAACAGCTGAAGATAGATCTACCACTGCTGGGAATATACCCAGAGGAAATGGAAAGCATCAAGTCGAAGGTATACCTGTACCCTAATGTTCATCGCAGCACTCTTTACAACAGCCAAAAGTTGGAACCAGCCCAAATGTCCATCATCGGATGAGTGGATACGGAAAATGTGGTATATCTACACAATGGAATACTACTCAGCTATAAAAACGAATGAAATACTGCCATTTGCAATAACATGGATGGACCTTCAGAGAATCATATTAAGTGAAACAAGTCAGGCACAGAAAGAGAAATACCATATGTTCTTACTTATTGGTGGGAGCTAAATATAAATAAATAAATTCACACTCACACACAAAAAAAGGGGGGGGGGGGGAGGGAAGAAGACATAACAACTACAACTCCTTGAAGTTGGTACGACAAGCAAACAAATAGGGCATGGTTGGGTGGGAGCGAGAGCAGGGAGAGGGAGGAGGGAGGGGGGTTTCAGTAACGGGCTACAATAATCAACCTCATTGTATATTGACAAAATAAAATTAGAAAATAAATAAATAAATAAAATATAATACTGAAAGAAATTGTGCTATTTACAGTGGATGACTATAGATGGTACAAACTTTTAAGTTTAATCTGCATTATTAACATTTTCTTCTTTGCTATCATAATCTAGAGACAATCAATGAAACAATAAATCAATCCCTGATTTGTGGTATTTGATGTTATCCATGGTGTAAATATTTCTACTATTATCTATTTCAATCTATCAAAGAGAAGCCATTTAGAGGGGAGATCAGAAAAGATATGCAATAGTACACTATTTTGTAGAATTTATCATGCAGATAAACTGATGTAATTTTAAGAGCATATGATTGCACAACAGTATGATGTAGTAAAAGAATTAGAAAGGGATATGTTTTGAGTATCTATTACTTTTGTTTCTAACACAATCTATTTAATCATAAGCTTATATTAATTCATGTTTAATAATGGCTATGTTTAACAACAGATTATGTTCTTGGTGTTCTATTTTGGGAATGTTTACTGTCTGAGGGATCTCAGTTAGACCTAATGTTTCATCTATCCTTTGAAGCAATATTTCCCAAATTACGTTATATACAGTATGCATCAGGGATAGATCTGGGTAGAAAAATGATACTACAATCAAATAGATTTAGAATTTTGTGTAGGATTCAAGACGTAACATGACATTAAATCCTGTGAGAGTTCTGAAGTTAAGAAACCTCTTATCTGTGTTTAAACTAGTCCTTTCCAATCTTATTAGAGCACAGAACACCTCATGGTACATTTATTAAATCTACTGAAACGGTGAATACCAGTTTGAGAAATGTTGTCATAAAAGTTGATAATTCTCCCCCAATATACAAATCTAGTCCTTTTTTTCATCTGAACTTACAAAATTGAATTTCCAACTGTCTGTTATACACCCAGAAGCACTTCAAGATTGCATTATCTATAACATGGAAGTCAAGGGTTCGGATTTCCACATTTGGCCAGCTACCCCCACCAAAAAAAAAGATTGCATTGTCCAACATTAAGCCTATCACCATGACAATGACCTCAATCCAAAGAATACCAGAAGCACAGCTGTAGTTAAACAGGTTGGGTTTGTCACTTGTTTCAGTGAGGGTGAATGCACACTGGAGGAAAACATGGGTATGTCATCAAGAGAGTGTCAGGATTTGGGTTTTGTTGGAGTGATTTTGGAGAGGATCAAACAAAGCAGAAACTAGATTTAGATCTAGAGTGCTCTCAGAAAGTAGGAGGCAAATCTATGACTGAGTACCTCAGTAAATCTTAGGTACAGGGAGGCTGATTAGAAAGAACAAAACTGAAATTGGTAAAGAAATAGTCTCTTAGCTGAGGGAGGAAAATGTTTGGTATTTTGTGGTTGTGCAATGATCATCTTTTTGTCTCACTTAGTCATGGTCTCAGAGTTGCCTTCTTTGATATTGATATTCTGTGAGATTGTTTGTATCCAAGAGCAGAACAACATGGCTTAGATGTG